CGCCACTGTTTATTTATTCCTAACGACGTTGTTGAAGTCGCAATTGAAAAACCGTTCAGACAAGAGTCAAAGACAATTCAAAGCCCTTTCAAATGCTTCTTAAATTTTGACAATCTCCTCAGAAATAATTGAGTTCTGAGTCATTAAACACGGGTTATAATGGCATGGTTATAAAGAAGTTTTCTTTTGCTATCAGTGTCGCTGTTTAAATCGCAATAGGAAAGACTTTCAGACAATAAATACAGACACTTAAAAAGACTCAATTGAAAAAAATTCTAGATAAAAATCAAAGACAGGCGCCTTAAGAAATATCTGAGTTCTGAGTCATTAAACCTTGGTTAAATAGACGCCACTGCCCAGCCTATTGTCACCCTAACAAAAAACCCGAAAGACAAAAGTCAAACAAACCTGAACTGCCTTTTAAATGATTATTTGACATTGAAAATTATCTCAGAAATAGAGTTCTGAGTTACTAAAGCAAGTAATAAGACGCGTCACTGTTTATTTTCGTTCCAGCGTCCTGGTTTCAACTCCAATTGAAAAATCCTTAAAGACAAAATAAAGACATTTAAAAGCGCTTTCAAACAGTTTTTCCATTTTCAAAATGCCTGTATAAACAACGGAGTTCTGAGCAATTGAAGACTAGACCGCAGTTTATCAGCGGCGCTACTGTTTGTTTGCTTCCAGCCCCAATTAAAAATGTTTGCAAATAACAAGCGACGCTTTAAAGACACCTTTAAGACACTTAAAAAGATTCCTGATCTGTTGTTTAGTTTCGGAAACCCTCACATCAGTAGACAAGTTCTAAGCAATTAAAGACAAGGCAGTCTAGATGAGACGCCACTGTCCCACGGCTTCTAGATCTGCCAGTGCAGTCCCAGAGAAAAACCTTCCAGACAAAAATCGAAGAGACTCGAATGGCCTTTTAAACGATTCATTAATTTCAAAAATCCACCGATGAACAAGGGAGTTCTGAACCAGAGAAGTTCACACAGGCATTTATCCGGCTGGCGCTGCTTCAATCGAAGAAACACGATACAAAACCAACAGCGATTGGTATTTTTAGGCCTTCAAAGGCCATTTCCATCGGCACAAAGAACATCGCGCCCATTAGCTGGGCCTTTGTGCTCTTCGAACCAAAAAAAAAACACAAAACAAACCGGTTTTTCGGTACATCGGCTCTCTTTAATTAGAACTCCTCATGTATGCTGCGAGCATTCCATATAGGCGACATGGCTACGGCTCGCGAATTTATAAATAGGCCCTCGATCGTTAATGCTTCTATTTCAGTAATCAATTTAACAATTATTATAAATATCCTGAGTACTGGAATTGGTCGAAGCGAGCCCAGTCCTACGCGTGGAGAGTTAATGGGATTTGGGAAGAAACCTCCGGCATCTACTTGCTGGCTCATCGACTGAGCAAATAAACAGTCGCAACAAAAGCAGCATTAATGCGGCTGTTTGCTTATTTGCTTAGACTCTCCTGCGATGTTTAAATTGTGTGTGTGTGAAGTAAACAAATGGGTTGATTGAAGCCAAGCCGAGCGGCCGGAATGATTGACGAGGCCTGGACCGGATTTCTGAGTCGCGGAAGACGCGGAGCTATCGATTGTTTCGCCGATGAATAAATTACCTCCATTGCACTTAAAATAGATGTTTAATTGGCCTGAACTGGGGCAGTGGCGGAAAACAAACGACTTCCAGAAATTCGATTTGCCGGCCAGCCCGATAATATTGGCACTGGATGGGACGAGATATGGGATGTTAATCAGGCAATTCGCCACGCTTCGGCGACAGCTAATTAACGGCCAAGCCTTTGGCAACGTTCCGTTTTTTCGGACTTTGTTGGGAGGCTTTTATGGAAATGCAAGCATTGCCCAACTTCCTGCGTCCGGCTGCTTCGTATGCAGCACCGTTTGGGGCCCCATCCGATCCTCGCTGCGTCCTTAAATATTAATCGGGCTGTTGGTATGCCAAGCCGTGAGACTTTCAACGTGTCGGAATTAACAACGGGCAGACCTTCAACGTTAATAACCAGCAACAAACGACTGGAATGGTTAATGTGCAATAACAAAGCGATTTAACCGGCCAGTGTGTTGCTCACTTGTCTTAATTCAGGCCCCCTTATTAGCGCATCCCATGGCAACATCTGCACAACATGAATGTTTTAAATTGTTTCAATTGAGGCCGCGGATGCCGAAGCGTTTAACTGCTCGAATGAAATCCACTCCACTTTTCCCAATCAAATATTTATATTTTGCCTCTTTCGTTAAGTGCTGTTTACACGATTTTACTGCTTCTTTATGCGCCACTCATCGAATCAATAGCGGGCGAACGTGTTGATTGGCCGCGAATTATTCAGAAGGAAATCAGAAAAACCGCTCCACGCCCAATCAGCCACCCATCCATCATGCCAGGTATTAAATGGCTCTTCGCCTCCATGATCCATTTAGCCAATAGTTGCGAACAACATCGTCCATCATCCATTAGTTGGATACATCTCCGTGCTGGCACGTTGATTGATGGCTCGCTGATTCTTTGATTGAGGATTCATCGGGTTTTTAAGCACTCTTCGAGGTTATTTGCGGACGCATTTAATGGAAGACGTGACTCATGCCGAGCCAACGATCTCGAATCCAGCAGGAGCAAAAAGCTGGACTGCGAAAATAACCGTCAAGCCGTTCACCTCCAAGGGCGCAGCCAAGATGGATATTTCTGGCGACTTGCGGTTTTTGCTGT